TTTTTTTGTTATAACTTAGATCTATATTTATGCTTACCTGATTCTCTTACCTACAATATTTGTGTGTTTGAAATTATGCACTGTTGTCTTGACTGCCTGTAAACCTTTTCCGTCCTCAAGGAGTGTTGAGTGTTTGACTTATGTGCTTTTTAATTCTAAAAGTTGTGCCTCTCTGATGATGCTTCAAACTACACTCCATTCATGTTCCCTTCTTTAGTCACAGACTCGTGAGTTGTGACTTTATTTTATGGTTGATAATGTTTAGTTGTGCGTGAAATTAATAAAACAGGATTGAACCCAAAATGAAGTATTGATTTTTCCTTTACTTTTCGCCAGGTCCATCCAGAAGGAAAATATGTTGTTGATATTGATAAAAATATTGACATTACAAAGATTACTCCATCAACTAGAGTTGCCCTCCGCAATGACAGTTATGTTCTTCATTTAGTTCTGCCAAGCAAAGTTGATCCATTGGTCAATCTGATGAAAGTTGAGAAAGTTCCTGATTCTACATACGACATGATTGGTGGTTTAGACCAGCAAATCAAAGAAATTAAGGAGGTACATTGCCGGGATTCTTTCAATATTAGCATTTAAAGTTCATTAACTGTTGGGACTTCCAGATATCTATCTACCAATCCGTTGGGGCATCCATCACTCCTCTCTGTTACTTTCTGTATGCATGTATTTATTTATGTATATTATATTGTAGTGTTATACATTAGAAAAATCAGTATTTTTTGGGTCTTCATGTATGTGATTAAATGTACAGGTTATTGAGCTACCAATTAAACATCCTGAGCTGTTTGAAAGTCTTGGAATAGCACAACCAAAGGTAGTATCTCATGTTGGGTTTGTTGCCAAATTTTCCATCCTTCCATAACCATACTCGGTTGTTAATTTTTATGTTTGTTGAATCACAGGGTGTCCTGCTCTATGGGCCACCTGGTACGGGAAAAACATTGTTGGCTAGGGCAGTGGCACATCATACTGATTGTACATTCATCAGGGTGTCTGGGTCTGAATTAGTTCAGAAATACATTGGAGAAGGTTCTAGAATGGTCAGGGAACTTTTTGTTATGGCCAGGTTTATTCTCTTTACTCGTATGCCTTTGCTCATTACCTGTTGACCTAAAACAGAATAGATGGTTTAAAAAAGACATCTTCCTGGTTTCTGTGACTTCGGAGGGCATAAGTTAATTCATCTCAGGCAAATATAAAATTGTAGTTGCTGAGATTTTGAGTGTTAAATTTGGAGCTAGATGCATACAAGGTGTGACTGGAATTTGGTGTGAATATTATGCCCTTTTTGCAATTTCTACTAAGTGCACTTGAAAAGACCAAAATGGGCATTTTGATTCATTAATTTCCATGGTGACCTAGTCTCTCAGAATGAAATATGTTGCCTAGATTCTGGAGACTTGCCTAATCATTATTGTATATAAATATTATCATGGAAATCTTATTTTTTTCTCAGGGAACATGCTCCATCAATTATCTTCATGGACGAAATAGACAGTATTGGATCTGCTCGGATGGAATCTGGGAGTGGAAATGGTGATAGTGAGGTGCAACGTACTATGCTTGAACTTCTCAACCAGTTGGATGGATTTGAAGCCTCAAACAAGATCAAGGTAATGGTGCTATACTGTTTTAAAGAAGGAGACTTTTAAAGCTAGCCTGGTAAAACTGTAACATTTTAACAGATTATTTATTCTATTTCAACTCATTTGAGACAAGTTCACAATTCTTTGAGGAAGTTCTAAAGATAAATCTTCGATTGTAGGTTTTAATGGCTACAAATCGGATTGATATCCTGGATCAAGCTCTCCTTAGACCTGGACGGATTGACAGGAAGATTGAATTTCCAAACCCTAATGAAGAGGTTAGCATCTTTGCGTTCATGTTACCCATTAATATATTTGTTGTGGGACTGAAGATGCACCTGCTGTATTCATAACAAATATTCCTGGAAATGACTATTTTTTTATGCAGTCTCGATTAGATATTTTGAAAATTCATTCAAGAAGAATGAATTTAATGCGTGGCATTGATTTGAAGAAGATTGCTGAGAAGATGAACGGAGCATCTGGTGCTGAACTTAAGGTACTTCTTACTTCATTTGAATCGTGTCTGTGGTTTTTCCATCTGCTCTACAATCCTCTATAAGATTGTCCTTGTTGAAACTATATGTGGTGGAATTGCTGTACTTCTTTGCTTTTTATTAATCATTATTTGGTTATGCTTATTGAAATAATTGATAGCTTCATTTTCATGTAAAGTTTCCTTTACTTCATCCATACATAAGCATGCATGTGTTACATATTTTCATGGAAAGGGTTTTAGAGAAATTTGACATTGTAATTAATGGGAGTAACTATCACGTTTTAACTTAGATTAACGTCCTGAATTATTGGGTGTAAATTAAATGTAATTTCCAGTTGACCACTAGTGATAAAGGCAAAGATGTGGAAGAAAGAAACAGTAGAGATTGCCCACGGGAGAGAGTTTTTGCTTACATGCCATGAAAAATGCTAGGAATGGCTTGATTAAATGGTGTCTGGACTGAGTTATGTATTATCCGAAAAAAAAACATCATAAAAAATATAGTGGTGCATTGACCATTTTCAACGAGTGTTGTATGTCTCATCAGAGTGTATTTTGCAGAATTTGAGCTACCAAGGCACAATACAGAATGAGTATAGTGTGCTGAGATGGATGTATAAACAGAATGAAAGTTAGTGGCAAAAATAAACTATTATTTTGTGATTTGAAGTATTTCGTAAACCAGTTAATAACTGGTTGGGACGCTTGACATGTTTGTGACAAAAATGCAGAGCCTTTTCTGAAACAGTGGAGAGATTTTATTTGATTTGATAAGACCATCCATAATGATATCAGCCAATTCTGTAATGCTACTAGAATTGACAACTTTATAAAAGAACTAAGCCAGAATGTTGTAAGAAATAAGTTATAAATCATAGTGGTAACTGTGAGCAGCGATGAATTAAAGTATTCATACTAATGCGAATGCAGAGCAATTCGTTTGTGAACTTTGTAGTTTAAACTATACACTATTGAAGTTTGTCCTAGCTTGATTGATACTCAATTTGTGACTCTCGTGCGCAGGCTGTTTGCACAGAAGCTGGGATGTTTGCTTTGAGGGAGAGGAGGGTACATGTGACGCAGGAGGATTTTGAGATGGCAGTGGCCAAGGTGATGAAAAAGGAAACCGAGAAAAATATGTCATTGCGGAAGTTGTGGAAATGATTTCATTTCATGTTTCTGTTGCACATTATCATGCAAAGATGGGCAGCGAACACGCCTTAGGGTTGTTTCAATTTACAATTACACTGGCTTTCGTTTTGCTAAGTGACCAAGTTATGTACCAAATCATGATTCTTTCCGGTTGATTTCTTCCTTGTCTGTGTCTTCGGACTGTACTCTACATTTATACAGTATTTTTTAAAAGATATTTATATTTTAGACTGCCAAACAGTCTGAACTAGTTAAAATAATGGGCAGCCCCCAAGCATGGCATGCCAAAAGCAATAACTTTTTAAACACAAACAAAAATAAAATCTAAGATAGTGAGAGGTTAATAAAACAGAACCCGCCCTTTTTATTTTGATCAAATCGCACCTTGCATTGTCTTTGGACTTCGATGGTCTGTTTTAAAGCAACATGTCCTAGTTCTATTTAAAGATTCATGAGTCTCAGATGACTCTATTTGGAAGGTTAGGCTCTCGTCCATACAAATTTTGAAGTCTATTTGCTAGAGAAGTTTTTATCGTCTCTCGTAATATTAATGTAAGAGCAAATTGAAAACTATATTTTTACTGATCCTCGTAATCATGAATAGATATCATCTTAACTAAATCTAAGCCTTACATTTTCTTCGCGTTGCAGTTATCCTTGAGTAGGAAACTTGGTTTTCATGCTTGAGTAAACAATTTAACTAGGAATTTATAGTTTGGTAAGTAAGAAATTATTCAGAACGAAAGAGAGCGATGGAAACTACATTTTTCAAAATTAATTCTCTTGTTTCGAAGTGTTCAACAATAAGAGAAAAAGAAAAAAATTCATGGGAGTCATGCTTTTTTTCTCTCCATTCAAGTCAGGAAAAGGGTTAAACCATGAGAAAATACAAAAAATAGACAAAATTATTGATTACAAATAATTGGACTTCAAAAGATTATAAGGAAGACAGTTGTCTATTCAGTAATGATTTTTTTTCTTTAATTTTCTTTTTTCATATTTTCACAGACTAAATAACTTAAAAATTATTCATTTTTTTTATCACTTTGTTAGTTCTTAAATTATTTCTTTCTATTTTCTTTCTTATATCAAACAAAGTGTTTGTATTACCAGTTGAAATTTATAGAAGTTCTGATTGTCTGATTTTTTTAGTTTTAAGGAAAAGATATTCATGTTTTAAAAGTATATATCATATTAATTTTTTTTTTAAAATATTGTTACAATTATATTTTATTTTGTTTATAATATTTTTTATAACATTATATTTTTTGAAATTAAAAATATTATAATTATTGTGTTTTATTCTTTAGTTATCAATTTAATTTTATCGTGTAACGGAATTGTTAATTACGAATGATTGAAAAATGAAACTAAACCAAATGATAAACCGATCAGATAAATAGATAGTTAGGATAAATTTCCAATTCAATAGATCAAACAATTAGTTAGCAAACCAATCAAATCGATCGAAAAAAAATAATTTAACTTGTAATGATTTTTGGTTCTATTGTTTTTTTTATATATATCGTATCGTATACTATTAAAAACACGTTTGATTATCATAATGATATGATTAATAAAATAATATGTGTATATATATATATATATATTATTGAAATATGTATATATTTTAAAACATTAGTAATTATAATATTATTATTTCTAGAATTATTTATCTTATATTAAAATGAAATTTGAAGGTGGGTGGGTCCTTTAATTTTCTTTCTGTGAGAAGAAAAAGAGAGAGAAGGATAAATTCCTCTGGCCTGTGTGTGCGAAGTAGCGCGGAGCTTCACTTACCACTGAACAAGGGAAAGAGAAAGGTACTTCAGTCGGTGATTGTTGTTTGATTCACTCACTCCCAATTCATGATTCCAGATATTATTATTCTGTTGTGAAGGAATGGAGTTGGCTTTCCGTTCACCCTTGAACCCACCGTCACCGTCACCGTCTACTGCTACTAGAAGGCCCAATTACCCAGTTAGGCCCTTCAGATCAACCACCAGGAAGTTCTCATTGCTATCTGCTCAGGTTTCTATTCTCCTCTCTTCTTCTTGCTGTTTGTTTCCAACTCACGGGCCTGGCCTGGCCTGGGCTTTGTTAAACCACTTTTGTTTTGTCTAATTTGAAGGCATATGATTATGAGTTAGAGAACAAGAAGCATCAGCTTTTGACCTCTGTCCAAGACACACAGAGGGGCCTCCTCGTCACCACCGATCAACGCTGTTGCATAGAGGAGGCTCTGGTGAACGTTGAAGCCTTCAACATGGCTCACCCAATCGATTTCGCCAAGTTGGATGGCACGTGGCGCCTTCAGTATACTTCTGCTTCTGATGTTCTCATTCTCCTCCAAGCTGCTTCTACTCTTCCTTTCTTTCAAGTACTCCTAACTATCATATTCTATTCCCTCAACAATTATTATATCTGTGCATTGCATCTATGCAGGTCATTGTGGTAGTGTTTTTTCTTTGTTCTCTGTTATAACTAATTTGTTTCTAGTTTCCTGTCGTTCTCTTACTATTTTACCACTTCATTTGTTACCGTGTTGAGATAGGTTGGACAGATCTTTCAGAAATTTGAATGTCGTGATCAAACTAATGGAGGTATTATCCGCAATGTTGTCCGATGGAGTATTCCAAATTTGTTAGAGGTAAAACAGCGCCTTCTCTTACTTTCTCCTGTCTTGCTTGGGACCCTGCAATTATGAAAATTCTTCGTTTCGGAGTTCAGACTCTGATTTGGGACTTTTGTTTTCTCTAACTTTCTGTGATCACGTGTCAACTATTTACCTCATTTCTATTTTCACAATATTATAAAGAGATTAACTAGATTGTACTCCTTAATTGATTCTTGAATGTGTTGTCTTAGAATTCATGGTGGCAAAACAATTTTTTTGTATTCCTGTGACTAGTGATATTTTCTTTTTATATAATTGAAAATTTTACTTACTAGTTCAAGAATATGTGTTGCAGAAAGGATATGCTTTTAATGGGGTACGGGTATACTTCGTTGTAGGGGAAAAAGCAAAATTAAAAATGGATGAAGAACATCTGAACTTTCCCTTTATTTTTGCTCGTTCTCTTTGAACTTGAATTGTGATTTAACAGTTTTAATCTTTATTGCAGTTGGCTTGATGTGTGAGTTTAAGACATGTGATTTTCATGCAAACTCTAAATTTTACACTTTTTGTTTTAAAAGTTGTGTTCAAATGTGTGGGAAGCTGAGACAATTTTATTAGTTGGAGGCTAGTTCTTTTTTCTAGAAATTTGCATATATTGTTCTCTTGCACACATTAAATGTTTGGAAAAATAATATTAGATTAAATACTTAAGCTTAAATTTCGGTACTCACTCCATAGACCCAAAAATTAAATAAATAATTTTTGCTCTACCTCATATAGGAACAAGAAGGTGCTACACTGCTTGTATCTGCCAAGTTTACTGTTGTATCTGTCCGTAATATCTACCTTCAGTTTCAAGAGGTAATCACTTTCACTCACGTGAACATGCTTTGCTTTCTTCTATAGTTTGGGTACAATATCTATATAAACAGAAACTGGACATTTTTAGGACATAATACATAATTTTTTTTTTCTTATTGATAAAAACTTGGTCTAAACTCTAAAGGTTCCTGGAGGATCATTCACATTCCATTTCATTTTTTTGGCACTCATTATAAATGGTGACATTTTTTCCATGCCCCATTTCTAAATTTTATTATGCAGCTTATGCATTAGTATTCATTCCTAGAGAGAGTTTTAGTGCTCAATGTAAAAGCTAGGCTACTTAGCATTGTCTAAGATCAAGAAAAACTTCCATTTACTATTGACATTTGGGTATAAGTATAATTGTTTCATTTTTTTGATGTGTGATACTGTTATAATGTTAGACGAAACATGCAATTTATTCCTGGCAGATCACAGTTCAAGATATAAATATTAGTGAAGAGCTGCAGGCTCTAATAGCTCCAGCAATACTGCCACGATCTTTTTTAAGTCTTCAGGTAATTCAATCTTAATTCATGACTGTGTTTGGAACGTTTATTTGGGGGCACCTCTTAATGGCATGGATATGAGATCATTACCATGGACACAAGTAACTTATGTCACAAAGCTATTTCTGCTCCAAAACTTTGGTGACGTACTTTACATGAATGACCTAATAAATGAGTATCTGCATGAGGACTAGCGGAGAACAGCTATGTCTATGACACAATGGTTAATATATATTTCATTATATAGAGAGATGGACACACATGATGTCTATAAGTTTCATTCAATTGTGCTTTTCTCCTGCAGATCTTGCAATTTCTCCGCTCTTTTAAAGCTCAAATCCCTGTGAGGGATCCGGGAAGGTATGCCGTGGACTGCTTTGTTGATAGTTCATGTGTTTTTTTGGACTAAAACATACGTGGTGCTTTTCTGAATTGTAGGGAATCAGTAGGAGGACTATATTACCTTAGTTATTTGGATGATAATATGCTTTTGGGACGTGCTGTTGGTGGAGGAGGGGTATTTGTGTTTACAAAAGCCCAATCTCTCTACTGATGGGCATTGACAGCAGTAGTTATTTATAACTAGTACTGTTTTCCAGTAGTAACACCTGGTGAGCCTTCGTTTATTGAAGTGGCCCCATGAGAGAAAGAATTGATTAGAGGCTTATATGACCAAAGAAATTCGCCTCGTTGGAAAAGGCATTATATGCAATTGTTGTGTTGGGATTTTATTTGAACTGCTTTTTTGTTTATATAGATTTGCATTGTATCTATTAATTTCATTATTTATTGTCAAAGTAAGGAGATGGTTGTTAGGACCAGAGTACTAGTATAATAATACACAACTAAAATAAGAGATGAAAAATAAAAGCCAAGACAATATAAAATTATTACAAAAAAAAAAAATTACACTGTTTCTTCTCTATCAAAATTCACTTCAAAATAGGAGACTATTACTTTCTACCAAGTATAAATGCACAAGGTAGATCACAAGAAAAGAAAGGGAGAAAGATTTTGGGATAGAAAATTTTTAGGATGATTTGTTAAGGGACCCCAAGCTCCTATTTATAGCCTAAGAGGGGTCTCCTAAATTTTAACCCACACGATGTGGGACTAACAATTCTTCCACGATTAAGTTAATCATATTTTCAAGTGACGGAATTGTTAGTCCCACATCGTGTAGGTTAAAATTTGGAAGACTCCTTTTAAACTATAAATAGGGGCTTGGGGTCCCTTAACAAATCATCCCAAAAATCTTCTATCCCAAAATCTTCTTCCCATCCCAAAAATCTTCTATCCCAAAATCTTTTTCTCTTTTTTCTTTTGTGATCTACCTTGTGTAATTTTTTTTTTGGATAGAAGATTTTTTGAGATGATTTGTTAAGGGACCCCAAGTCCTTATTTATAACCTAAGAGAGGTCTCCCAAATTTTAAACCCAACGATGTGGGACTAACAATGGTGTACATTGCAGAATCGTAGATATAATTATCAGTGATAGAACTGGTGGGAAGAGAAGCCCAATCCCACTGTATGCCGGTGTAGGAGTCTTATTTGTTAGTTAGCTTATTAGTTTTATCTGATATTATTTTATCAGGCTACTTCTAAAATTATCAGCAGTAATTTTTATTGATCATGGTTGCTAGGTTATGGGCAGCAGAAAATGAATAAAACTTGTCAGTCATTGATTCTTGAGTGTGTGTATCAATCAGATCCGTAGCTGATAGTTGTTCGAATTGCACATTTGAAATAATTAGTGAATAAAAGCATCCTTTAAACAAGACTAAAAACATAAAAAGAGGGAGACTCAAATAAACACAGTCAGTTTTGTGTATATATATAATAACTGGTTGTAACTCGGGTGAGTATTTCGAAAGGAAGGAATTATAATTTGAAAAATATGGTTAAAAGCTCCCATCATCCCTGGCTCTTTGATTATCTCTTAAAATCAGTTCATTGTTGTGATCTTGTCAAGTTTGTTGTCGCCCCGTGCAATTGAGTCCTTGAGGAAACTATTAAGCTGACGTGTAAATGGAAATTAGAAGAATATAAAGTTTTAGGGGAATTTGATGGTGAAGTGACGCTGTGACTTACAACAAAGGATGGTGACGGGGATAGGGATGGGGATTAGGGAGATGGCCAGAAAATCAGAAATATGGGAACCCATTCCATTCGCTGCAACTAGTGGACCACGGAGCAGGGGCATAAATCTTTCACGAATTGAGTTTGGTTAAGTAAAAAGTAAAAGAAAAAATAATAATAATTCAGAGAAATCAGTAAAATAATTGGTGGTTAGGTAATAAAATACAGAGTAGTCAGCATTCGTGAATAATAATTAATTGCACATAAAAAGAGTTTTGCTATGTCTACAAATTTTCTTATTATTTAAAAAGATAATATTGGATATGGAATTATTTACGAAACAACCACCAACCATTTTGAAGCAGAAGGCAATAATATATAGGTGAGATGCGTGTTTGGAACGGCATTATGATTTGAATGGAACTGTAGTATTGTATTATGGAGAAAAGGAATTCAACGAACAGAAGGGAGGAAGAATTAGATGGGATTGGGAAGGTTCCAGATCATCTGCTGATAGAAATATTCGTAAGAGTTGGAGTAAGAGAGTGGGAGCAAGTAGCGTGCGTGAAGAAGCAGTGGGCTTCTCTTTTCCGCTGCGAATGCTTCTGGGAAGCTGCTCTTGCCACTAATTATCCATTCGCCGATTCCCCTCAAACATGGCCTGGTCCTATTCCTCCTCCACCTTTATCCAATCCCAAGAGGTATTACTATTCATTCCAAACTCACTAATCCATAATTAATACCACATATCACTGAATGTCTGCTCCTGGCTTCCTTTTAGGAGATTCATGGCCTTATATATTAGTGAACACATCTCTGCTCACCATCCTCAATTGCAGATTGAGGAAATCGTTGGGCACAGTTATCTCTTCTTGAAAGAGCAGCTTCAACTTTCTATTATGCCACCTCATTGTGGAATACTTCATGGAACCATCATTGGTGGGTTACTTTTTTTTTTTTTTTTCCTTCTTTCATTACACTCACTGGCTGAGACTGCCATGATTAATTTATTTGGCAGATCAATTCATTGCGTGTGGCAAGTCCAGAGACTTTGCCCACCAACTTGCTTCTCGGATTTGGCTGGCTGTTCTCGACAATTTGGAGGAAAACCACCACACATTTTGCTTACTTAAACGCCTTGCCCAAGAAGGGGATGTAAGTAAAACTCCGTCTTCACTTGTCCTACACACCCACTGTTGCGCCAAGATGCCAACCATGCTCTTACTTTTCTTCCTTTACTGCCTTCTATATAATTATAGAGTAAGGAAATGAAGAGCCTATTTCATTGATAGTGCTATATATAGTTGGGGAGCACTCTGAGGTCACTATACATGGGGAGCATTATGAGGTCCCATAAGAGTTGCCTATAACAATGGAATTATATGATTATAACAGAAATACAGGATAAAGGAGAATGTTACAACCGAATAGAAGATAACTAAGTTATGGAATAGATGATAACAGAAAGCTATATTAATGCTTCTAAACTCCCTCCTTTTTTCTCCATAATAATGTAGGAGTAATTAATCAGGAAAATGTTGAAGTAACTAATAGTTGAAAGATTTTATGAAAAAAAAGGTATTTTTCACACTTTTATAACTTTAATATATTACTTTTTTACGTGTGCTCTGGGAATACGTATAAATATTTAATAAAAATTTAGTATACATGGATTTTTATTGTGTATTCTTGACTATGCCCTAGAAAACTGATAAACGTATTTTTTTAAAAGATTAAACATTTACTATTTTGAATGTTTAAAATTCGATTGACTATTCTTGTTCATTCTTCCTAAAATATTGTGTGCAAACAATTATTTACACCCTCCAAGATGATTTACCTTGTTATTCATTCTCTCGCCAAGATAGAATCTTCTTCGGCGTTCCGATATCATGCTCTTCAAATTTATAGTGGGATTCTACGTGTTGTTACGATTTGGCCCTTGGAGATGTAACTACATTTTGGTTACTATTTTCATTTCTGCAGGTTTTTCTTCCATACCCTTACACCAGACCAGTCCAAGTCCAATGGAGGGTGTTTGAGAAGCTTTTTACTGATTTCCGTGATTGCTTCAATCGCGTAGATTATTATGATATGTTGGCATGTGCCAAAAGCAAGTTTCACCCAATTCCATCTGCTTGGTTAGGATACTAGAACCTCTCCTCCTCCCTTCATGCCAGGCTCATGTCAATTTCTAATTTATTGTGCTATTGCTATTGGAGTAAACAAATTTTATGCCTATATTTAATGATCCCCTGTCACGTTGTTAACTGAGATTGATAATGTAGTTAAATTAAACTTTTTCATGGGTTTTTATGCTATTGACCAACATTATTATTTTCGGAATAAATTATTGCATTATTTTACATTAAAGCTTTGGACCATCAATCATATTTTAATTTTGTATCCCTCTTTTATTACACCAAAGCGATGTTAGTCTAGCTCACTTCCACCTCTAATAGAACATTGCTTTATTTATTTATTTTATCTACAAAACATTCTTTTTAAAACCATTAATTGTGATTAGTGTAGTGGAGTAGTAGAAAAGAAAAGAGAAACGAATAGTTTTGAGTAACAATGTTAATTATTTTTGTTCTTATCTAAAATACAATTATTAGAAAACTACTAGTATCTTACAACATAATTTTGAAAAACAAAAGTCTACAATCAAAATAACCCTTAAGTTTTTGCTTCCTTAGCCTCCAATCCCCTAACTTTCTTTTGTCTCTGTCCTTTTTCCCTCCTCATTAAGGAAACGTAACACACTATTCAAATCACTGCAAATTTTCTGTTGTTTGTTTGTTTTTTCACGAATCATGATATCAATAAGTTTCATGCCAAGAGCAGAATTACATACTTGATCGTAAGCGTAGGAGATTTTGATTATGTTAAATTCGTTTTTTATGTAATATTTGGTAATTTGTCGTGAGATATGATCATTTGACTAATGAGGTTTATAATTTACCGTACTCTCGAGTGAATTAAAAATATTATTAATTCTTTTAAAATATTCTTTTTCTTAATTATAATTTTGACCCCTTTATTATAATTAATATTCAATATGGATCTCCTAATTTTTTTAATTCAAATTTAATCACTCAAATTTTAATTGATACAATTAATTATTTTTACTTTTTAATTACTATAATTAAGTCCCTCTATTAATTTCTTTTACTACACAAAACTATCAAATTCTTATTTTTTTTCTTACAAATTTCCATGATTCAAAACTCATTGAATAATTTTAATATTATTTTTTTCTCAAAACTTACCACTTAAAATATCATATTTTTTCACACAAAAATAAAAAATTTCAAAATTTTCCATTTTACAAACCATAACTTTGTGCGTAGTAAATCTTTCAAGTTTGATATTTTTTTAAGCGTTTGAACATTTTAATTTTTTTATACCTTAAATTTGTATTAAAATTATAATTATCTGTATAATAAAGGATAAGGATGTTGATGTTTTATATAATAAAAATCGACCTAAAGACTTAATTATAATAATTTAAAAATTAAGAGACTAACTCTAAATAAAAAATATCAAGAGTTCAGAATTACACGTTAATCATAATATTAAAATATAATTTTTAAAAAAAAATTGCACAGAAAAATAAGGATTTCCCCAACTCTTACAAGACTAAAGGAGAGGAGAGAGCATAATCATCAAACTAATCATCCCGAATAACCCGACTTTAGCACAATACTATTTTTTGACAAATATTTTTATATTATGTGCTTTGTTGAACATAATAAAAAAGAATATTATTTAAAATGATTATATTAAATAGTTATAATATATTAAATTATATATTTTTACAAAAAGTTGAAATCTAAAGCATTGAATTTTTCCTTATAAACGTTATACGCATATTATTTTAGATTTAAATAGTCTTATTGTAATTAACTTTTACTTGCATACTTTATATGTCTTAAGGTAATGCAGAGGTTACATATGCAGAGATTTTTGCATTTTGCAGTGAATTGACTTGGGATAATGGAAAATTGAAAGGGTCTTAAACGCTAAACAGGGTTTTCAGTATCTTTACGAAAACAAATCAAAACAACTTTTGCGCGGCTTTCTGACAATATTCTGTGTACGACGACACTGTCTTCTTCTACTGTTCGCTTTTCTTTATAGGCTTTCGTGTTCCCATGCCATTACATTAATGCATTTATTAATTTTATTTATGCTTATTCTGTCAGTTATACTTTTAACGTACATAAATCCTCAGTTTTTTTTATTGGGAAATGAGATGAGAGAGAGATCAAATCAAACAAAACAAAACACAGTGCTCAGTGCTTCACATTTATTGCATTTTTCCGGTTTCACTCTTCTCTCGTCTCCCATCGCCTAGGGTTTCTCTTCGCCTCTGCTTCTGCTGTCTCCTTTGCTATGTTGTCACATGCATCTTAGCAAGTCCTCCGGTCAGTGCTAAATTACGTTGGGACAATTTTCTGTCTTGTTTGGGGCATTTTCTTTCCTGCATTTCATGCTTTTAATCATAATGCAATGCACGTGCACTCTCTCTCTCAATTTGCAATCGTTGTTAGGAGTGCATCTGAATAATCGTAATCACTCTCCAAAATCTGACTTTACTGTTTAATTTGCTTGCTTTCAGAACTTCAATGCAGGAAGATAATGCAAGCCAAGTAAAGTAGGTGACACGGAGAGAGTTTGCCTTGTCGGTGGCTCTGATCTCTGTAAATGTTCAATGCTGTCCCAGGTTTCTGCCAAAGGTATAAAAAGACATCATCTTACATTTTTGGTAGGGTTCATATGACCCTACTTTCCTTTCATTAACTTTTTCATTAAGGGGCTTTATACTTAGTTGAAAGGAGTGTGATTTCCACGATGATGTGTGCTTTCTTCGCCATTTAATTACTAATGTCTTGTCATGGAAGTTGGTACGAAATCTAGGGGCTCAAGGTCCCTTTATCATCGGGTTTTCGGCTTTAGAACAAGTTAAAGGATCTTTCTTGTTAAATGCGGCCGCCCCCCACCCCCCCTCCCCTTCCTTTTTCCGTTCAGCTTGAAAAACAAAACTACTGTTACTTTGGTTTGTTGTTTAGCATTGCCGTTCTCTTTCTGTTTTGATCTTATAACTGGCTTTGTTTTAAAACGATTAGTTTGTTTTTGAAAGGAAGGTGGTAAAGCATGGATTTTTTTAAGATCAAGAAGTTCCGAAAATCTCAGAAAGCAGATGGGGAAAAGGATTTGGTCGACAGGGAAGTGCCAGAGCCTGATGAACCAAAGCCCAACACTGACGGTCCTGATCAGTGTAAATCGGAAAGTGCAGATTCTGCTGGTGAAGCTGAGGATGATGATGATTTTATCACCAATGAGGTAAAGAGGAGGCTGAAAGAATTGAGAAGAAACAGTTTTATGGTGTTGATTCCTGAAGAAGATTCCTGTCCTGAGGAGGGGGAGGATGAAGAGGAAGAGGGAGAGACAAGTTCAAATGAATGGAGGGATGTGGAAGCAGAAGGTCAACAATGGTGGCGTGGTTTCGATGCCGTGTATGAGAAGTACTGTGAAAGAATGCTGTTCTTTGATCGGATGAGCTCACAGCAGCTTAATGAAGTTGGCAAAGGTAGATTTTTATAGTTGCTTTGTTTTGTCGGGAAAGGGTGAAGTAGAAATGGGTCAGAGGCTGAAGAAAAGCGAAAAAGATACATAGAAATCTGGGACTTTGTGTTGGTTGTTGACGATGATAAATTTTAATCTTTCCAGTTTCTATGTGTTCCATATGCTGATACTAGTAATGATTGTGATGTCTATTTAGGTTTTCGCATTGGGTTCATTTAGGTGTTTGTCTGTGGACTTTGCTGTATGATGTGTGATTAGAACAATATAGTATTTTTGTTATCTCTGCATTTGTCGTACCTTGTGATGTGCTGCACCCATTATGTCAGGTTCACAGTGCAATTCAACGCCATCTCCAAGATCTGCATCAAAAAAGCTGGCTTCTCCCCTTCGATGTCTTTCCTTGAAAAAATTTGAAGCACCTGATGATGAGACCGAACATCTTCAACAACCTGAAAATGATCCTTATCATGATATTGAAACAGCATATGTCGGGCAATTTTGCTTGACTTGGGAGGCACTTCATTGTCAATACTCTCATATGAGTCAGAAGATATCTTGGCAACATGAAAATCCGACGTGTTACAACCACAGTGCGCAAGAATTTCAACAGTTCCAGGTTCTATTACAAAGGTTTATTGAAAATGAACCTTTTGAGCAGGGCCTACGAGCTGAAATTTATGCTCGCACCAGGAACACTTTGCCTAAACTACTTCAGGTTCCTAACATACGAGGTGAATTTCTTGTAAATTATCTGCATTCAATTGGACTGTCATTGAATAGCGAAGTTATTAGTAGTTAAAATAAATATAATGGTTGTTTGTCAGTAAATGTAATTCTGTTTTTCTGTCTATGATATTTATGTTTGTGATTGTATGACTAAGTGCTCAATTTTATGAATCCATTCAGGTTCAGATCATGAATTGACTGATGATTCAGACACAAGGGTTCTTGCTCCTGATCTTATCAGGATAATTGAAAGCTCTATCCTTACGTTCCATATTTTTCTGAAAAGGGACAAGAAAAAGTCAAGTGGTGTTACCAACCTCTTTGGAAATCAGAACCAGCTTGCAACTCCTCTACAACAGATTCAGTCTACTCTTGAAAAGGTAATTTTGTAACCCTTACCTTAAATATGTTAACCAGTGGTTAACTTAATGGTTCCAGAGCTATTTTAGCCTTTTGATTCAAATATAAGACAGCTTATTCCTCTCTTTTCTTGTTTTTGATGAGAACATTTAGGTAGATCTAGGAATTTTATAATATCTTCCGAGGGTGAACTAATATTATCATCTGACAGTTTATGCGCTACCACCTGTAGAAAAATTTGCTAATCAGAAATTGCCCTTAGGCAGCTAAATATGATGCTGGCAGTTGAGCTAATTTATTATTTTGCTTTACCTGCAGAAAGTAGTGAAGCTGAAAGAACTCCGTAGAAAGAAGAAAGGTTGGAGGAAGAATTCTTGGCCCCAAAAGCACGAGGACATTCAGCTATTGCTTGGCCTTATTGACGTGAAAATCCTTTCAAGGGTTCTGAAAATGACAAGGATGACCAGAGAACAACTGTTTTGGTGTGAAGAAAAGATGAAAAAACTGGACTTGTCAAATTGTAGGTTAGAAAGGGATCCATGTCCCATCCTCTTTCCCTGTTAGTATCAGTGATGTATATCTGATGAATAGCTGCTATATAGGGCATCAGCTTTAGTTCTTTCTTCTTGGATTGATAGTTGTTGCTAAGACGTCATCAAATGAGCTTCCAGCTGTTTAGGTTGTCTTGGGAAGAATTCTGGATACTGGTCAATGTATTTTTCTGTCGAAATTGTGAGTTTCCAAGTTGTTTTGTATGACTCCTGATATAACATAGTTGTCCGAGGATTATTCTTGTTGGTTCTTATAAGACTATTTATTGTCAAAATCCATTTTTGCTTAACGTTTTTTCTATTTTGTGCGAATTTTGATCAAAAAGTGCAAATAATTCTGTTAACAATACATTAATGTCCCGATACTGCAGAAGACGGGATATTGGCAGTGGAATCACAGAATAGAATTTCTCAAATTGGTTATATTTATAGTATCCTTCATCGAATTACTGGAATATATGTGCGCTTCAATAGAATAACTTTGTGCAAATGATAGAACTTGGTGCCGGCTTTTTCCTAATCAAATTTGGCATGCTATTCATACGTTGAACTAACAGTAATTCAAGAATTACGGCAGCGAACAAAAGTGAATTCAGAGAAAAGTCAAACACTAGCAAGTCCCATCCTTATGGTTATCTCTGCAAATTGTAGTGATAATTTGAAAGTTAAAAAATATCATTTTTAATAAATTTTAGTAACTACATATGTAACCAACACTCCTCCTTTTAGAAAGCTCTAAAAAAATCATCGTTAAACAATTGTTTTAATTTAAATAAATTTAAAATATAAAACAATTTTACAACCTTAGAAGTTAAAAGTTTAATAAATTTTAAATAATTTAATAGAATGTGAGATTAGTATTTAAAGGAAGGTGTTAGCCTTTTTTAGGTAAAATTAAATTAAAAAAGTTGAGAATAATTTAATTGATTAAAAATGTAATAAATTAAAAAATTAACTAAAAAAGAAGTGAGAGGCTTAAAATCGCATGCAATAGACAACGACGGTACGAGGTAGGCAAACAATAGTAAGGTTGAAAAAATAAAATAAAATAAAATAAAAACAGCGCCATGATTTTGACGAACGCTACGCACATCACATCACATCGGAAAATCGGGTGGTGGAAGGAACCCTAACCCTAACCGTAACCCTGGCAGGCATAGGAAGAAGGGAAGTTGCTATGCGATGGATGGGAGAAGCGTCATAAGAAGAAGCGGTGGGGAAGCGGGAAAGGCCATAATCGCGTTGGTATGTGGAACACTCGTTTACTATCACTGTGCCTTCCGTAATTCTACCCTTCTCTCTCTGTTCTCCGATGTCTTCATCGTTCTCCTCTGCTCCCTCGCCATTCTCGGCCTTCTCTTCCGTCAGATGAACATCCAGTCAGTATTACGCTATTTTCCTTCTTTTTGTTTTGATTGATCATTTTTAATTTCATTGGGATTAGGGTTTACTTTTGATTATTTGTTAGGGTTCCAGTGGATCCCCTTGAGTGGCAAATTTCTCAGGACACTGCTAATGCCATCGTTGCTTGGTTCGTTAATACCATTGGTGCCGCCGAGTCTGTCTTGAGGGTTGCCGCTACTGGCCACGACAAGAGGCTCTTCTTTAAGGTCTCTTTCTCCTCTAACATTCATATTCATATTCGTATTTCATACATAAAATGCTTTCTCTGTTTCAGGTCATTGTTTGCCTCTACGTATTATCTGCTATTGGAAGATTGGCTTTGGGGGTCACAGTCGCCTATGCCGGTAATATCTTAACCCTTCTAGTTTTAATCATTCTAATTATGACTTCAACACATACTTATCCTTTTTATCGTGCTTTCTCAACTAACATTTTACCCGTTTTCGTCAATCATGCGGTGTAGTCCCTTGATTTGGTTACAAGTTTATTACGTATGCAATTTACAATGATGCTTAACTCTCGTCTGCAAAACGAATTCCTTTCAATAGATAATGGGATGGTTCATAGAATGCCAATCTATCAAATTTAAATCGAAATGTATGCTATTGCATTTTAAAACAACAGGAATACTTGGCTACTGTATCACTTTCTTAGTGTTTCTTGCATTGTTAAGCTTTACTCCCGCAAGTGTGTGATATGTTGAGCTTGACTCATCATTTTGTGCTGTTGGTGAATATCTTTGACAATGTAGTGGGTGCAGAGGATTTCATCACTTTTCATGAATATCTCTTGGTTGTATGTCGTGATGAATAACATCACACAATGTTACCTGTTTAGTTGAATAGTTTCCTTTAACTATAAATGTCCTGCGCTAATAAGACTTGCGTGGTCTCATAAACTGATGAATTAAGTGAAATGCATCCTTTACATGCTTATGAGTTATGATTAGATTCCAATGAATAGTAGGGACTGAACCAGGATTCAGTAGAAAATGGAATGCTTATGTTTATTGATGTGAGGCAGATCTTATCATTTTTACTGTTTTCCATGTTTAGCTGTTCAAGTTCAACATTTGTTATGGTTGTATTGTCTTTGTTAGCGCAGGACTTTGCTTGTTTTGTCTGTACATGTTCGCGGAGTGCTCTCAATCAATTAGCTCAGGCGTGGCCTGGTTCTTAGGAAGAAGAAATGACACTAATGGTGAACAAGACATCATGTAACATACTCGTTTTGTACTTGCCTGTTGGTTCAGATTTTTAGTTGATTCTGTGCCTAAATTGGAAATTGCAACAATCTATCAATTATATGGTTTAAGTTTGAATAATGCTGTAAATATGATGTATTTGTTAGCAAGCAAGCCTAGTCAGAACGCACAAAGGTCATCCAATTAGACCCTTTTTTATAATCAACTATAATTAAGATAAATTAAATACAAAAAAAAAGAAAACTGAACAGTCCTACAATATTCACCGAATTTAAAATAATCGAAGTAGCTCAAAAAATTAGATTTGATGTTAAATCCATGTTATGTACCTGTATTTATAATGCACTCTTCATTTTTCAAACAGTATTTTTTAAGAGATAAGAATATAAGTTTATCTTATTTAATATAATGTATTAATGATTAATAATTAAAGTATTTACTTTTATTTTTAAAGTTATTATATAATGTTTTTAATTTTATTTTTAGGGCTGATTTGTCAAAATAATATACTTTTTGAAGTAAAATAATGTTAAACATTTGATTAAAATAATGTATTTTAGTAATTTCCGTCGGTTTTTGACTGCAGGATCTCTTTTTCACCTTTCTGGCGGTAGGAACTCGCCCAGTAATTGCTACTCAAAGCTACTCACAAATTTGTGGCTCTGCTTTATAAACCGATACAAATTTCTTACACAGCCAATTTTTCTCACGACCGATTAACCAAAATAATATACTAAAAAACGATTCTGGCCGTTTTGCTACATATTTTGGCAGCAGAAACCTGTCACAAAATGTTAAAGTGCTCATTTCTTTCTGGGCATTTGTAACCGCTTGAAAATTTAATTCTCCACAACTTTCTTTAGCTGTGTATAAAATAGTGTATAATAAACATTATTAAATTAAAATATTTTATAAATAATTAAGATAATGTTATATTGTTATTTAAAATGTATAAATTTTATTTTTTTTTACAAATTTTAAAAATTAATTATTATCCGTTTATTTAATATAATACAATACCTATTATTGAGAATTACTTTAATTATTTATAAAAATATTTTAATTTAATGTATATAATATTTGAAATTTCGATAGTGTATAAAATTGTGGCTGTTAGATAAGACCCAAAATAAGCCATAAAAAATCATTAAAACTACCCATTTTTAATAAAATGTTTCACAACATTATTTTAATTAGTTTTTGGAAACATCATTTTGGTAAATGACCGTGAGATTTAATGTAAAGTAGCTATGTAAGCTTATATATGCTCATCGTAAAACCGCATATTTAGCCATTATCCAACAAGGCATTATCTACTAGCTATCCTTTATTTTAACTTGATCCACCCGATTGCTCACACTTCACTCTCACGTGGCCTCCCACATGTTGGAAAAAAAAAAATGAATTTTTAGTTATTAAAAACATGATCTTTTTTTGTTTGTCTCCAAAAGAAAATTTGTTTTTAATCTCTAAAAATTACAAAAATCATACGCTTATTCCCAGAAAAAGGACCTAAGCTACATTGTTGTTGTATATAGACAGTAAATAAATAAATTTTTACAGAAAGCTAAAATAAAATATTATACTATTTTCAAAGGTAAAAAGTATTTTTAAACCTTATTAAAGTTACTCAAACATTCCAGTGACATCAACTCAACCGATACAATCTGATCACATTATTACCGTTGTAATGAAAGGAAAAAATATAGGAAACTTCTCCCAAACCCACATTCTTCACCCTTTCTCTTCGATGAGAATCTTCCCAAATCAATTATCAAAACATGAAAACTTACAAGACTGAGTAACCAGTTGGTTAGTAGAACTGACCATTACCATGAACTTGACAGCTGGCTGCCATGGCAAAACGGTTATTCGAATCTTTTTTTTTCTTCTTACCCAGTATTATGCTTATCCCCCGTTCTTATTAAAGTCAAAAACTAAAAAATGTTAATGGTTAACTAGTATGACTTGTAGAGCTACAAACCCACGTAACCTTATTAGGCTACAAGGAATAACCCTTCGGGACAAGCAGTATGTCTTTCCATGCTTCATAAAACATCCATGTGATGCCAGAGGATGGCATGACCTTTAAACAGCTTGCACCCCATCCTCTGTAGAGACCCTTCAGACCTTCTTCTCTAATAACTTCTGAAAGTGCTGCTGCCATGTTTGGTGGGCACTTACCTTGCAAAGCTCCCACCATCAGGCGCTTCCTAGCCACCTCCAATGGGAAGCTAATTGTACTCGCAGTAAAACCTGTGCGCATAAAGAGGTCAGTTAGCGTATTATCAAGTATAAAATGTTCAGTGTTGGTCGCAGCATAGAATGAAACACTGGCAAAATACAATGCTGCTTAAATGATGTCCGCCCATCACATATTCAATTAAATCTAGTATATAGCTTGACACACACACCTCTCTCTCTTCCACTGCCTTAATACATCAAATAAGAGAGAAATGAAATGGCAGATGGCTATTTTTTCTCAAAATATTTTATGATATCATTTGCTTCATGCAACATGGGATTGTGTGAGACAGATTAAGACAGAGAACAACAAAGGTAAACATAAATAATTCTCAACAAGAATTATGGAATCTCTCACCTGCTAGAGCTCCAATTAAAAGCATCTCTGGACGACTTAAAGATTTCTTATTTCTGGTCTGGCAGTATGATTTTTTCATTGTATCATACATGAAATAATAACACGTACTGTATGGGAGCATGCCAACTAGAGTTGGTGAGATACCAGCATAAAAAGAGCCAATACCACCATCTTTATAAATATTTCTAATTGCAATGCCCAAATTAGGGTAGGCTTCGGGACTCACAGTTAACCGATCCTGTAATAACAAATCAGAAGACAATTACGGTTGCCTCAACAGTACAACAACATAAATGATATTGATTACCGCATCACTCAACTTGGAAGTCTGAGGTATCTCTTGATGCCCCAATACAAAATTAATACAGTCCATTCAATTTAATATATTTATTAAGTATTCCCATAAGATACCTTCAAAACTTCCAGGGGATGGCATAAAAGCGTGCTAGCAACTCCTGCAGCTGCCCCAGCCACAGCAACTGGTGAAATCCAACATAAGGAAAAGTTCAAATTGATGCATCCTATCTTTAACTTGGGGTATTCATCCTGTTTCCATTTCTCTTGCACCGATGTCATTGCCCTCTTTACACACTCAAATGTGCCAAGCTCAACAGCTTGTGTTGGAATTATACGAAGCATATTGATCATGTTTCCAGCCCACAATCCTTGCCATCCCTGCTGCTCTATAACCTGAACAAAACTACCGGCAATGTTTTTTGAACCAACACCAACTACCATTCTTGTCCTGCATAGGACACATATTATAGTGAGACAACGCATTTAAATAATGTATAACATGGTATTAGCCATACTAGCTGGCGATAATATTTGAAACGTAAGTGGCAGTCTTATTTAAATTCACCTCATTCATACTTTTGAGAAGGGGGGGGGGGGGGGGGCTTGGACTACAAAGCATGAGATCTGGAAGAATGTATTATAAAGCGTTTGAAGAAATAAGAGAGTAAAAGGAATAACCTGATGGTCTCAAGAGGAGCAAGTATGGCTTTGGTCATGGCCCCAGCAAGGGCTCCGCTCATAAACTCGCGAACCTCTCTGCTGCCCAAAGTATCCTGAAACAACATTCATGTCTCAGTCTGCGATACCATTAATTAATATTAATAAAATAAATAAATAAATAAATGAAGAAAGCGGTGCTAACATGGGGAAAGTTGGGTATCTGAAATCGAAAATCGAAGGGAGAGTTATGAAGATCGATCTCCATCTCTTTGACTATACTGTATACGTCTCCAAAGACCCCATTGCCATAGCTCTTCTTCTGCGATTCGGATTCCAATGCCATAATATGTTAGTTTTCAAAACAAACACCAAAAGCCTCTTCGCCTATCCCTATTCTATTCAGAGATTTGTATTGAAATAAACAAAAGTGACAAACAATAATTGACATGCCTGAGCCTTAGGTTTTGGCTGAGAGCGAGAGGGAGAGCACGAGAGTGAGAGCGAAGAAGGGTTTTCTGTTTTCGTCGATGACATTTTGTTTTGCTCTAAATTTCTTTTTCACTTCTCTTCAAAAAATCCCAATAATGCTAATTCCCTTTCACTTGGGGTTCCTTTCAATCCCCAACATTCATAATATTAGTAAAGTTTTCTTTTTCAACTTTTGTTAGGATTTAAATGGACCCATATTTTCTCTCTCCTTTTTCCTAAAGATATATTCCATTCTTCAGATATTTTCCCCTCTCTTCTCACACGTGAAAAACCACTACCTAAATCAACAAATAAATATTAAATTAAAGAGTGAAACTCATTTTAACTACGTCAATTAAAGAATGTGATCATAAGGCCATAAGAAAGGCAGTGTTTACCAAGTATGAACAATGACAATAAGGCTACCATAGTCAAAGCTGCTTTTGTGCTTTCAACAAAAATTACCCCCAAAATTAAATTTGGCTATTTATTGGATTAAGAATATTGTTAATAGGTGTCTTAAATATTGATTACAAGATAATGATTTTTTTAAAATGTTAAAATATGTTAGAAACAATTCCCATTTCATGTGCTCAAATTGCAAATGCATAAACAGAGATTATATGCCCTTTATTTTAATCTTTGCCCTATGGAGTGGGAAAAGACTTGGAGAATTATTGCAAGATTAGCGAATGTGTAAAACAAAATAATTGTTTTAGACAAGAAAAGTTGTATAGTTTAATTTTCATATTTAGATATTTTTACCCTACTTTTTTTTTTTCTTGATTTTATTCTATGTTTCTAACATTAAAATATTAATTGAATACTAATTTACTGAATTAAAAAAAACTTCAAAATATACTTGATAAAGAAAAATTATAAATGGACTAAGTGAGTTAAACTTAAATTTTTAAACATATCAAATATAAAATTTATATTTTGTTTTGTTTATATGAACTATTTAAGTTTAAGCACCATCTTTTTCTTGCATGATATTGGAAGTTGTATAGTAGCTGTGTTCAAACAACTTACCTTCTTCCTCGACCTCCTTCCGACCCCTGGAAATGGGGAAGGAATATAGGAGATTGAGGATTCTCAGCGACAGATACGATACTCACAATCACAATCATGCTTTTTAGAGTAACTCACATGCCTTAGCATCATCACACATAGCGTGCTCCTGCACATTTCGCAGGGATATATATAAGTCCATTCATTCGAGTCAAATTATTTATCTCACCCATGTTCAAATTTCCAAACTTTAAAACTGAATCAACGTCAACTTCAAGGAATTAGTTAATTGCTGTTCATACTTCATAGGATTTTGCTTTGATAAATTGTTTTTATTTTTTGAGATAATAAATATGAATATGTTGTAAATATTATTTCATATATAAAAAAACTCGCAAGTTTTTTTGTTATTAAAACAATTGAATCAACCGTCGAAATCTTACAGCTTATATTGACCTCAATTTGCAGACTTTGAAATAGAAAATTGTTTCCACAACAACTTTAGTGAATGGATACAGAAAGAGAAACAATAGTACGGTATATGATAGGTAATCATTTTGGTGTTAGTCAACCAAAGATGATTATGATATGAGTAAAAAGTACATTTCTTATTTCTAGTTTTATTTTTATTTTTATATTTCGGTATATTTCATTTTCTTTATTAGTAAGATCATTTCAACCTGCTGGCTCAAGGTTTTTATATTTGCGTTTGTTCGATAAATAAATGGGCAATTCACATGGAAATCTCAGAGCACCATCTTCCACGATCTTCTAAGAATCCAAAAAAGCAATGCAACAATAATATGTTCAAGTTGGCAATAAATAATCATCTCTATACATATAACTGACAAAAAATTATAACCATATGACTAGAGAAAGTTGAATCAGTAAAATTTTATTTGAAGATGACGACAAAGACTGATTGCTTCATCTTTCCTACACCAGATAATAATAAACAAGTTACTAATAAAATATGTCATAAATTAATTATCAAATTAGTAATGAATTATTGATGAATTGAGAATGAATTATTCATTTGATAATTGATTGATATATATAGCATGTTGTTCATTAATAATTTAATTGTCATTAATTTATTCAAAATATCTAACTATAGGATAAAACAAATATCAATTTGATAACCATTGTCATAAGAACAATGATTAAAGAATTAAAAATGAAGAGTTCTATTAAAAAAAATCATTATTCAGCAAAGCTAAAGAAAAATATATAAACGATAAACCTTTAATATATGGATCTGATTCTTACACATGCAGCTGATAACATGAATGATAATGTGTAGACTGTACATAAATAATATAAAATGCATGTAGGATTATAAAAGATAGAGTAAATTAAATTTGAGGGCTTGCCAATGCAAGGTATGCATCTCGGATCTTATGCTTATAAATAATTTGTACTAACATTACTCCATAGGCCAAAGCATCTCTCATCTCAACAAGCATTGGTTTTCTTGATGGATTCAAAGAAGTCTAACAAGATTAGGGAGGTGGTTAAGCTTCAACAGATGCTCAAGAAGTGGAAGAAACTTGCAAATGCAAATGCAAATGCTTCCAACAATAGCAGTAAAGGCATGAAGTTCTTAAAACGAACTCTCTCGTTCACAGATGTTTCTTCCAATGACATCGTTCCAAAAGGGTTTCTCGCTGTTTGCGTTGGTAAAGAGCTAAAGAGATTCATTATTCCCACACATTACTTGACACACCAAGCTTTTCAGATGCTGCTGCAACAAGCCGAAGAGGAATTTGGTTTCCAGCAAGAGGGTGTCCTCAAAATTCCATGCCAAGTTTCAGTGTTTCAGAAAATATTGAACGTGCTCGAAGACAAAAACGAAGCCTTGCAATTGCATGAGTTTGGGTTCAGCGGAGAGAAGGACAACGTTATTAGTTGTCACGCATCAGATTGTGACGTTACTTCCCCTCATCATCCTCAAATGTGTAGATAGATTGATTATCAACATAATAATTCTTTACTCTCATTAATCTTCACTCAACTCTTGCTTTTCTATTTGACAAAACCATTGCATGCATTCATTATAATGTATTCAGGTGTTAATTAGTTTTACAGGAGAAAACTATTGAGTGTCATGGATGAAGAATAAAAAGTAGAAAATATTTTTCAGTGAGTGAAATATTTAGTGTTATTACTACATTCTTATTGTGATTTTTAGTATTTTTATATTCATTAATTTCTTAATTAGTGCGCATGATTTTAAAGCAGTACCCTTAATTTTATAGACATTTAATACTTTATGTAAGAGGGTATTTCTCCTTTAATTATTTCGATAATATATAAGGATATTCGTAATTAAGTATCCACGTTGTCTCCATAGAGCACCTAGCGAGATGCATTTTGTTTCTTGATGTTGCAATTTATTAATTAAGGTCTCTCTGCAATTGCGCGAGCTATATACTATGAGTGATCGATTGTAAAAGTTAGTATGCAAAACTAATCTCCCCTTACTATAATTATAAAACGAGTGGTACATATATTGATACTGATTAATGATCGGAAGCGATGTAAAAGAAAAGGGTACAAAAAGCAAAAGAGATGTGCAAAGCCTGGTTGTGCCACTCGTGATGATCCAACATTTCCGGTGCCCTTCCAAGGATATGATGAATCGATTTTAAAATTTTGGTTTGAGTAGTCCAACTTGCCTTAATACAGATATATCTTAATATGCTTAATTAATTAAACTATATAGATAGTACTAAACCTGTACGTACCCCATATGTATGTCTAGTCATAATTAATATATCATTTGAGACGTTAATTAATTATAAAAAATCAAAGCTGCGGGTTTGTATATATTATATATGAAAGATGATCAGCAAATAATGAGGTTATAGGAATACAGTACATATGAAAATCAGTTAATGACTACATACGGGTATTAGTCTCATCTTACCAAGTTTCTTAGAGTGTATCATCCGTTTTCTTGCGAACCAAGTCATCAAAATTTGCTCAAAATGGTCTTCGTCGCAGGGAATTTCGAGAGCACCGCGGTGATGGTCGCACCCAAACTCCTCAGCCACGTTCTCCATCAAAAGCCTGAAGGCTGGCATACCCAAGAAGCTCACCGGAATCACAAACCTTCGAAGCTCCGGTCCCACATAAACGGCGAGGAATCCTTTGGGAACCGTGCTACGTGTGCCATTAGACGATTCTCCTCCCACCAATAATGGTTTGTGTATAGTTTTTGAGGGTTGCCAAACCTTTAGAGGGCTTGGGAGTCTTTTAATAATTGTTGATGTGGATATGGGGATATTATAACAAAGTTTCATTTTCAATCCACAAGCGACATGTAATCACTTAATATAATCTTTTTACTCACATTCATTCAGTATGTATTCAAACTTGAAAATAATTGACTATCAAAGCTGATTTTTACCATCGGAGAGAGGAGGAATAGTTCCTTTGCTAAAGGAACTTTTCCTCCTGATCTGCTCCAAACTTGAAAATTAAGAACTTATCAAACAATTTTATGAATGCACGTGTTTTGACACTATGCACTGCATATATAGTTTGTTATTGGTGGTGTGGTTGCATATGCTTTTGAGAGTAAAGGTGAACCATTAATTGCCTCTTCATTATCAGCCTATAATTCACAACTTGTCTGCCACACAATCAGCGACTGGTTCGCCATGGAGAGGAGATACTCTTGTGTAATGCTTGCATTTTTTAAACTTTAATTGAAATTGAAAATGATATTTATAGATTAATCAAAATGATATTTTTTAATTTTTTAAACTTTTTTTAAAAAAAATGCATAATAAGAAAATTTGGATTTAAAATTTTAAATTAAAGAAAGAAAAGGGATAGCTGAAATTGTATGTTAATCGAAAGAGAAATCTCTTACGGAAGTTATAATATTACGAAACATGGTTTAAATTGTCCCATTTTTCAATCAACAAAGGCTAACTTACAAAATGGAAATTTTTACATCACTAAAAAGTTAAAAAGAAAAAAACTTGTTTAACAAAACTCATGGTAACTCACTCATGGTATCAGGTTGTCTTACATATGCTCCAAATAATTTTTTATAAGATTTGAATAATTCTTTCATTTATAATTAACCTTATATGCTAAATATGTAGTCTTGAGAATAAAATGTGTACCTGAAATAAGATATTGTACCTATTTAACTAAAAATATGATTAAAATACTTGTTGCGAAGCTTGAATATCCTTTATCCTTAAATTGATGTTAATGAAAGTTCCTTGATCTCCTTGTACGTTTTTCCGTACAAACCTTAGACATGACGTGTTATTGTGCTTGGACCTGTATTGCTAAGATGATATTCTAGTCAAATGGTCTTTTGAAAAAAAAATTGTTGATTAAATTCTACTTTTCATTGAAGGTTCGTTTCAGTGAGACATTCGAACAAGTGCATATAATATATTAGGAAAGCTCACAAATGGTTGACGTAAGAATCGCAAAGAAAAATGTTTGTACACGATGCGGTGTCTTCCCAACTTCTACGTAGACAACTTTCATATAGTAACAACAGTATCTATGATATTATATCTTCCATCAATTGAGCCAACCCTTGTTGGCTTAATTCTGCGCCATATAGAATCTCACTCGTCTTTTTTATTGTTTAAGAAATGTTGTCATTCCAACGAAATAACCAAAGCATGACTCAAGCGTTATGAAGTTCAACAAACACACATTTGTCGCAATCATTTGTCTCTCTTAGGACAGAAGATGCATGGAAATGGCGCAAGAAAATCGACGGACGTGGATGTAACCCTGTATCAATGGTTCTAGAAACTGCAGGGATACCGCAATTAAGGTTAGGGTTATTTTTCAAAGAATCAAGGAGCACAGACAGAAGGGGTAACAAGGTCAACAAGACGGACTAATTGCATAAAAAAGAGTTAACATTAAAGTTTGAAATATATTCTATATGCTTAGTATTTTGTGTATTTCCCTAATGGTCGTTACTTCTTTAAAACAACAGAGTCAGAGAATATAATTGGACTTCTTTATTTTATTTTTGTCAATTGCAATATGAGTAGAGGTCTTTCATGTAACCTAGTTAATGTCTTTATTATATTTTTGTCACACAACACACCTTAAAATTAATGTTGATATTAATTTCTATCTTGAATAACGGTCCACAAGTGCTTTAGCTTTATCAGGTGCAAAAAACCTAGCCTGCACAAAACGGTTAGACTTTACAACAACATTCTAAATATTTACAGGAATATGAAAATCAATTATGCATGTATGCACAAGAAGAAAATGTTGATCTAGGACTCTGAAATTGCTGTTTTAACATTCTTTTACCTACTCAGTTCAATTTATAAACTTACTTGAATGAACATCCTTTCTGCATCACCAATATTTTTGTTTTCTTTTAGGATGATTCCCTGCATATTTACAAGGCAATGTTATTGGAGGGCATTGCTTCTTTCTCCGCATGTCTTTTTGGACCAAAAAAACATAATTGATTATAAGCATCTAATATCAAATAACATTGGTAAAAAATGGTAGAGAATGAGAACGATTTAAGACACATAACACAAGTCATTTTGTGGTGAGTTCTAAAATAAGAATGTATTAAGACTCATAACATGAGATCAATTCTATGTTTATGAACATACGTTGTCCTTACGGGGAAACTAGCATTTCTTACAATTTATGGTCTTGCCAAAACAAAGGAATCTATTTGCAAAAAAGAAAATTATAGCAGAGTTCAACAAATAATAACTCGTTCAACTGCATATATTTTCTATATCACTAATTATTTATTATGAAAAGAGATGAGCATTTAGTAAATAAATGAAAAGAAATTAGAGACCTTAGCTAAGTATCCACGGAAATCTGCAGGGTGAGTAGATATGAGCTGATCATAAACAGCTACAGCATCACTAACATGGCCCCAATCTGAGTAGGCTTTCCCTAGGAGTAATTCAACCTGATAATTGCAGGAATATAAGAAAAAAAAAACATAAAAGAATATAAAATGCTTTCTACGTGAGGAAAAAACAAGGAAAATTAAACATGTGGTATGCACATGAAGAAAGCTACATCTTAGAAAATCCTGCAATCAAAACAAAAGATTAAAATGTAGCCAACTAAACTTCTCATTGCCATAGTCCACCTACCGTTAAAAGAAAAGTTATTATTATTAGGGTTATTAAACATGAGGTATGTATCACTTAACGTATGAGGCATTTGAAAAGGTAGGAATTTACTTGGACTGGATCCAGCTGCTGTGAATTTGTTGGGTTGCTATCAGATTTTTCTGGTATGTTTTCTGAACTTAGACGCTCCCGACAGGCCAAAAGTAATTGAACAGCCTGTTGAAGAAAGAATGGAAAAATAAAATGGTAATTCCACATCCACTAGAATCACAAGGTGTCCAAAAGAAAACCACCAAATTTCTATACTACGTAATATTTGGTTTAAGAAAATGTTTTGTTCTTTTAATTGCAAAAATTTCACCTTATTTTCATCTTGCTTTCTTTTTTCAAAGATTTGTATAAAAAATTATGAAAAACAACATCTATGTATAAATCTTTGAAAAGAAACAAACTAATTGCATTTTGTTAAAATTAGTGAAAAGCAAATGAGTGGAAAAAAAGAACAATTCCACAATGAAAGTTATTTTAAACTTTTGAACCAATGGTCATATCATGAAATTTGAACTTTATACACAAAGTCTAAGGTAAGCTAAGCAACTAGTTATATATTGTTTTTTTCCTACCTAGGGAGAAGCATATAAAAAGAATTCTTGTATATTCTTTCATAACATGATCAATGTTTATTGACAAATAAGGACTAAGGACTTAACTTTCCAATGTATTAACCAAATCAATGTCTCTGTGCAATTAAATCATTGATCAAAAGAATCAGCCTATGTTTTCATCCAATACTCTAGAAAGTTTCAAGAGTAAAATTAGTTACCCTCAGTGGGCAGAAAGTAACCATCCTTAACACATTATGAAAGAGGTACTTATTTGTACTTTGTACAAAGAACAAGTACAAATGTAACCATCATCAAGCAAAACAATAGATTTAAGTAGTGCAACACATTCATCCTAAGAGTCCACTATCATGACCACACACCTCATCAGGCTTTTTGGCTGCAAGTAATGAATTGGTAAGACCGCGCAGAACTTCAAATTTGATATCTTTTAACACCTGTCATGGATAAACCAAATTTTTATAAATAACACCTGCTATGTTTGATTGCTAAGAATTTCTAGCCGTAGCCTCTTCTGCCCTAAAATTTCAAATTCTACACATTTATCAGTGCAACTAATAGATGGCACAACAAATATATTACAATCGTTTAAAAATTAGATATAAAAACACTAAGCTCATATTATGGGAGGTAAGTAACAGAAAATAACTCACCAAAATAGGGAAAAAAAGTCCGATAAATAAATCATATCATAATTTATCATAAGTCCTAACCTATATTATCAATTCCCTTAATGAACTAAATCTTTGGTATCCTTACTAGATGTAAGTTATATGAATATAGTTTTGATAATGGTTTATGACATCCACCCATGAAAAGAGTTTGAAAATGTTGAAAAGACTGACCTGTGCTGAGCTTTTGTATGCAGCAATACTCCCTTCATAATCTTTGAGTTCATACTTAACTTCTCCAAGCAAACGAAAAACATCAGCATCATTTGGTTTTTCCTTGGAATAACACCAGCAAAAAAGTCAATGATTATTCAAAGATCAAACAGCATGATTTATGCAATATACACTTGAAAGAGGATTTTTGTGTCCATATATGTGTGTGTGTTTGTTTTCCCCATGGTGGAGATACTTTCCAACACATAATTAGAAAGTTCCAAAGGATATCCAGTGGTCAAAAGAATACCTTTGTCAAATCATCAAGTAGAGAAGCAGCTCTTGCATATTCCCCTAGTTCTGCCAAAGTTACTGCAGCTCCCTGAAAATCCTTTAAAATGTATCTAGAAACACAGAAACCAGAGGAACAGAACTAGCATTCAAAACTTACTTCAAGAGCAGTTGGATCTCTTGGGGAATTAATTAATGTTGCTTCAAATTCCTTAAGCCTACTCTGCCATATATCACAAAGAACATATATTATATATGGTTCTGTAGTTCTGCCAGAATGCATAGTGATGAAATTTAAAGGATTGTATAAGATGCGAAAGGGGAAAGGAGAAAGAGAAGGAAAACAGGAAAAGGATTTCATTAATTACATGATGAATAACTGTTATTCTAATACTAAAACTATGGTTATGAAAAGACAATTGTAATGCTACCCTTTAATTGCATTACAAGCAAGTGCAAACTTAACCAAAGAATCCAAGAAGAATTTCTTGACCATATAATAATAAAATCATATTTCTCTCCTATGTATTGTGAGAAAATATATAGAATTGAACAAGTTTAGGCATCCAGTCATGGGCATATTGAACAGTATAGCAGTGTCATTTGTTAGAAATATATCAATTTTAGGAATCCAAACATATTTATCATTTCTTGTTTAATCTGTTTTACTTAGGAAAGAATTTTGACATTGATTAACAGCATTCCTTTTTTCATACCTCCAACCCTATTTTAAACAGGGACCAATAACCTGTACAGATTCATGTATGGAATGCAGCATTCATTTCTTTTAGCTTGATTGCTTAATCAGAACTGTCCATAATCTTCAAAAACAGGTTATAAAATTTCTTTGCCATGTGCATGTATGTGCAGGTGCTATCGTGTTTACAGCAGAAGCTGTTCAATGGTTACAAGATCTGAAACAAAAACCAATTAGCCATTTAACAGAATCTCTATCCATAGTATACTATAAGCATTAAGCATATTAAAATTCCCTGTAGATTATTGTCACAAAATCTCTTTTCCTACAAATTACTTCTTTATATTTTGAAAGTGTGTCTTTCATGAGAAAAGCTTTATATGTGTATCTCTGATATGAAAATACAGCTCCTCCATCATATCCAAGCTATCTATATTTCTTATCTTGCTTGATGTCACTGTACATATGACTTATGTTTTAAACAAAATAAACAACCAACAAAGGACCAAATTGTTATCTACCAAACATCCCCATCTTTCCACCAGTCCATGAGAAGAAACAATTTTAATTCAGTGAAATTTTGCTTCATAAGGAAATGAAATAAGACAAAAACAACTAGGAAAAAGACTAGTGCCTGACTGATTGCCAGAATAAAAACAATAATTGGGTTGAAATCATACCTGAAGAGTAGCTTTATCCTCCTCTGACAACTTACTATTGACCACAGCACTGTCATTGTTGGGACTAACACTGCAAGATATCCCCATTTTTTTGGGTGCAGAAGATATCATAATTTAAACCATACTGAAAACTAGGGCACAATTACATGGACATGATGAGGAAAGAGATTAATAACATTCATAATCAGCAGCAGCACAGAGCATTAGATTGACTTAGAAAGCAACTAACATACACAATGCAAAGGATACTGAACAATTAAGTGATGGCATCAAGCCTTTAGCTATACTTCAGGTATATTATCTAGTTTAAATGTGCATGCATGCATACCTTCCTGATGGAAGAAAATCTCCGAAAGCAAAAACCAGACCGAAGACTACAACGGCTACACCTACTCCAATCTGTATCATGCTGGTTACATCCATACAATTTTTATATAAATCAGGCATTTATGTGGTAGGAAAGAACAATGGTACCTTAGTACCTAAGCCAATTGTCTTATTGTCAGAAGAAGTTGGTGCATCATAGTCAATTGCTCCAAATTCTTTTTCCTCTTCTGCTTTCTTCTGCTCAAGTGCTGACCTAAGTAGTGTGCAAAAAGAACAATTTAATGATCTAGTTCCAAGTTCCCAATTTATAGCAATAATCTTTTTCAAACCCAAAGCCATAGGCTCCGAAAAGTATGAATAATCACATATCAATCATAAAGATAAGTTTAGATAGCAGTTCCAATACTGAGTATAGAATAGATAATGAAGTGGCACTGGTGGATAGCTCTTCGTGCGGTGAGGTGTACCTTCTAACTGCTAGTAGCCGTTCCTCAAAGTCAACATCCAAAGATTTGCGGTCAACTTGTGAACTTAAGCGGGGTGCCTCTGGCCATATCAAATCAAACCAAAATTGAATTGGAATTTAGAAACATGAATATGGATATGGGTTAGAAGACTGATGCAATTCCACTTACGAGAAGATAATGAGCGAGACTGTTTAGTTGTTGATTCCTTGCTGCACCAATACACGTAAACGAGAATGATATCATGGCATACGAAACAAGACAAAACAAAACAGAAAAGCATTTGTAGTTGTAATGAATCGACACATCACAGACCTTGGCGGCGACACAAAACCCTTGTCAGACTTATTGGTCTGAAATATAGAATAATAAAAAAGAAAATCAATTTCCACTGGTTCTAGTTCTAGTTCTAGTAGCAAATATCAAAGCAATATGAAACAGAAACAGTAACCTTAACCCTGTTTTCTCCAAAACCACGCTTTGGCTTTGAATCGGAGCAATTTATTCGAAACCAAAGCAAGCCGCTACTTCTTATTGACATGGCATTTATATTTGTCATCCACATAATGTGTTATCTTTAAGACCCTCACAATTCACCACGTTTATTTATCAGCTTCCCTCTGCTCACAGCAACAATAACAGTGATAAGGTTGCGAGACCCCCGACTAGGCTAGAGGATGGAAAAACATAACTTATAATGTCAAGGATTGTTTTTATGTTCTCTATCAATTATACATGGGGTAGGATATAGAAAGATTTTTCACTTTGTCACTTTTTTTTTTAATTTATAATTATTAATTACCCTGATTTATAGAATAAAAAATTATAGGACAATTTGTGGATACATTTTATCTATCATTTAAAATTTAAAGCTAAATGAAAATAAAAAAATAAAGATAATTATGAAACGATATTAATATTTTTTACTCACTAAATATAGTTATGTTTAAATATTTATTAATTTTTTATTATAAATTTACTGGCTTTAGAGTACGTGACAAACCAACGCTCATTTTAATTTACCAAAAATCTTCTAAAATAAATTATAAATAATTAATATAATTTATGTTTAACTAATTAGAAATTATTTTAGATAATGCCTAAAAATTAATCATTACTTAACTTAACGATTTTTAATTATACAGCAATTTAAGGTTAAATGACAATGAAAAAATTTTAAATGATAAATTCATTTTAATTAAATCTAATAATTTATAATTCTTAATAATATAATAATTCATGGTGAGTTTCTAATATAAAAATCTATTACATTATCAATGTATTCCAATTGAATGTATTTGTTTTTCTTACAATACGAGTGAATTTGATAATATAAACTTATAACTTATTTAAAAAATTTATAGTCAATAGACCAGTAAAATTATTTGATGAATACAAAATAAAAAAAACTGGTTACTTTTAATAATTAGTTTAGAAAAAATTATTCCAAATAACATTTATTTTAATAAAGATTAGCTGCTTGTATTTTTTGTTTATCTTATCTATATCCTGACCTTTTAAATAATTTATGTTGATAAAAAAACTCACCCTGCACACCCCCCGTGTTCACTCTCTCCTTCATTTCTCGTTAAAATAACCAAATCCAACACGGAAATGATGGAACGCTATCTCGAATGATGGATGGGCTAACTTATGAGCACACATGTTCCGCAATGTAATGCCCTACACATCAAATAATTAATACCGTATATAATACTACTTTGTATAATTATCACCATCTCTCACTTATTTAATTTAGCCGCATTAGATTCGGAGGTACGGTCTAAGGGACTAGCGCGTGGAGGAACACGTGGACATAATCTATTCCAGCCAAAAATATGGGGGAGGCTTTTCTAATCACTATTTTTTCAATATTTTCAGTGTCAACTAATATCTCTTATTCTGATCAAGGACAAGAAAATTCATTGTGACTATAAATCAGGCTCGTCGATGAACATCATAGAGATTCATACAACCTATCCCTATATTTCCAAAATTATCAAAATCAAATTGGGTAAGTATGCTGTTTTGAGGCCGCAATAGAGATATGAACAACTCTCACAGGAAGACTGGAGCCATTACCAATGTAATCGTTGCGAGCATCTTTATAAGTACATGTAATGAAGGCCCAGCTGTGTCTTTGAATGGGTCGCCCACTCTGCGAAATGAATAAAAATTTCAAACTAGTAAAAAGAATGGACCAACAGAACGTAGATGCAATCATTATAACCCATCAAAGAAAATTCAAGAAAAGGCAAACATTATAACCAAATTATGGGAATGAAGACTTGTTAAAATGATATAGTAGTAGTGTCACATATCTTCCCTTCGTTTCCAAAATTAAACTACACAATGTGCCGCTTTACATCAACAAATAGCCAATTATAGAAGTCAAATTTCATGCTCAATGACAATTTTAGGAACAGTATTCATGGTATCTCTCACGATGTTTATGAATAGGGTTAAGCTAGGTTAGGGTGGATGAGGAATATTTAAAGTGGGCAGGATGACTTAGCAACCACGAAGTCAAGATAGTGCAAGCATTGGGAGCAATGGTATTCAGGAGCTTGTCGGAATGACAGCACCAGTGACAACTAGTTAACAGGTGGCTTGACATGGTTGCAAGTAAAGGAACAACAGCATACGCAATAAGCCTGGCCTGGTGCAAGAGAATAATTGAGTGAAGGTGAAGATGTCCATAGGAGGCGATGTTAATGAAAGGGGAAGCATAACGAAGGTTATTAGACTGCTCTGACAAGGTACATCGGCAAACTGAAAAATGCAACGCTACAAGCCTAAAAGTATATTATAATAAACACTAGCCATAGTCAAGAGCTCAATAGTGAAAAATTATTGGATGAAACTCTAAAGCAACTGAAAACCACATTCCAGAGAGGAAACAAAAACCTATTTAAGGGACACACAGAACCACACATTATCACTACAATAATGGCCGTTTGAGATGCTAATGGCATTGTACAACAAAGGTAGCATAAAAATAACTTACGTATCTCCTGTCACTGCTGCTTTGTGAGCATCGCTTCCCTTGCCTCCAAGAGCTCCAGTCTCAATGTACTTCTTTGCATTGTCCCAGGCACCACCAGCAGTGTTCAGAAAAAGTGCCATAAGAATACCAGACACTGTTGCAAACATCAGCATAGCAGCCACAACTTTTGCCCCGAGTAAAGGATGCCCTGTATAGTAGCCCAAAATTCGGAAGAGAAAACCTGCAAGTGACAGAAAAATATGGCAAACTCTGCATGGCATAAAAAATATTTCATAATATATGAATATAAGAAAAACAGATTACCAATCAGATCATACAAAATAGAGAAGAAAAAAATGAACAGACAGCTGATTCCCAGGCATTTTTCTAAAAAGTTTGCCCAATAATTCTTAGCAAAGACTGAATTCAAGAGACAGTTCAAGGAATAATTATGTATTACCAACATACTAATGGAACAATTTAAGGGTTAAGGGAAGACAGAAAGGGTTCAAAATTGCAAAATCAAAATATTCAAATAGAAAGGCTTATATATGAGAGATATCAGAATCCCCCAAAACTAGTTTATGGGACTAAAGAATTTCGTAGTAATACAGCGTCTCCCATCTAGGCGGGGTGTGCAAAACATACGTATGAGTGATAGGAATACATGATGATGTTTTAGACTTTGCCAGTGGAAACTTAACAAGATATCTTTTATTTGCTCCTCAAGTGATTTACAAATATTCATTTGCTTGCCATATGATCTAGCCTATCAAGAAATTATATTGGTCACATATGATGACATGATTATGGCACAAAAAAAATTGCATAACTGTTGCTATCCTCCTCAGTTTCTAATGGTAAAATGTATGTGCAAACATGCGCAATTAAAACACAGCAATTAACCCACCAACTACAATAGGTGAAATGATGGCCAAAGCACCGGGTTTTATCATCTCTCTTAGTGATGCAGATGCTACAATAGCAACACAACGACCATAATCTGGTTTCTCCTTGTAATCCTGTAGGAAAGCATAAACATGAATTAAAAAAATGAGAAAAGTTGGAAACCTAAACTGACATACACTATTACTTTACAAACCTAAACTCACCATTATACCCGGCCGCTCAATGAATTGCCTTCTTACTTCGTTAACAACCTCTTGTGCAGTTCGGCCAACAGCAGAACAGGCCCAAGCACTAAAGACAAATATAAGCATGGACCCGAGCAACCCACCAATAAAGACTTCCGGAATTGCAATATCAACCTGCAAACCAATCATAAGTTGCAATTTAGAAGATCAGTGAAATCTGATTAGATACAAGAATAGTAATAAAATAATTAAGGGTGGTGGCTTAAATATGTTTAGTCCCTAAAAAATGCAAACATTTTTATTTTATTCTTTACATATTTTGAGCTTTCAAACCACTCCTTATTAAGCTATTTCTTCCCAATGTAATCAATCTGTTAAATCTCTGCCACGCTTTAACATTTTCTTCCTGCATAGACACTAATTAGCCACACTAGACACAGATTCAGTAAAAGTTGGAATACATGTAAAGTTGCAACAAAACTTTCTCCTTGGATCTGTTTAAGTAGTTTTAAGCTCAAAAATTTAGAAGGATGGAACGGACATTTGGACAGAATTGGACTAAGGGGATATATGATAAAGTCACTGCAGTGTGATGAGGCAGAAAAGTAGAGGTGAAAGGCACCAGTGCAGAACACAGGGATTGGACAATTACTTGCAGAACACAAGCATTTCAGCATGTGATGCAGTCGTTTCTTGGAACCCCACAGATATTTCCAACTGGAGAAGTTGATCTCAACATATCTATCCAATGAATTTGGTACCATATTTTCATACGGCATTCTCAAGCCTTTCTCAGCTTTACAATTCCACTAGTTCAAGAAAGAATGAAGCAAGGAAAAGCAAAGATCCAACTTTTTATGTTCTTCTCTAAAATATCAATGCCAAAAGAGTCAATTTGTTATTGTATGGTGTGGGTATGGAGAAATAACTTTGTGATCAGTTCTAAATGCTTGAAACAGAGGTGATCTTGTCTTCAGTATCAAAAGGTGGATCCCATGTTTTATATCTCCCTTTATTTCTCTGTCGCATAATATGATCAACCCAAGATACTTAACCTGTGACTTGTGGTATGGTCTCTAATTTTCACCTCCTAAGATAGATTCCATACCCCCCTCCTCCCCACCCCCTAAAAAAAGAGTATGTATTATTTAGAGACTTGAACAAATTTTAAGCCTAATTAGGTGGGAGCTAGTTCTACACACCTGTTTAAAAGGTTCATGAGAAAATGTAGAAACTTCATCCATATAAGCACTAAACAAAAGGAAAGATGCAAGGGCGGCAGAACCAATGGCAAATCCTTTGGTGGTAGCTTTGGTTGTGTTTCCCACAGCATCAAGGACATCAGTGATCTCTCGGACACTTTCAGGCTGAAAAAAGGTTAATTATCAGTATGCATAACACAAGAAATTTAGAAAGAACACTATGGACACAATTATTCTGGCCAGAACTACCTGCTGACTCATCTCTACAATTCCTCCAGCATTATCAGCAATTGGGCCAAACATATCCATGGTAAGAATATAGGCAGCAGTGCTAAGCATTCCCATTGTAGCCACAGCAGTGCCAAACAGCCCACCAGTTGGGTTTCCTGTCTCATCTACTA